CAAAAGATAAAACAGGCTATTTTAGTCACAAAAGATAAAATAGGCTATTTTAGCCACAAAAAATAAAACATCACATTCAACCCATAATCATTACACTCTTTTCTCACAAAAAAAGTCAAAAAAGCCAAAAAGTCAAAAAGCCTTCTCAAACTAAGCTTTTTAGCTCAGGCTAAAATAGCCAAAAAAGTCAAAAAGCCAAAAAGTCAACCCACTTCCCAAACGGAGGCTTAGGTAGGTTCTAAGTTGTTTTTTTTTTTTTTTTAAATTTAAATATAAATTTGAGAGAACTATTCAGAAATTATGGAATCTATCATAAATCATATTTTGATTATTTAAATAGTTCATTTTGTAAGCTTCTCTATTTATATCATGGAGAGAAAATATTTAGTAGATCTAATAATCGTAACATTTTTATTATATTGTATTTGTCTTTAAAAAATATAAGTAACAATTTTTATTTTTATTTTTTTGAAAATAGAAGTTCCACATACCAAACAATTATAAACTTTAGAAAAGCACGACCCTATTTTTTACCATCATAATTTTTTTTAAAGAGGAAAATCTCTCCAAAATGGGGTCATGTTGAACCTTCCATATAGAATGAATTCTAAATATATACAATTAACAATAAATCACATGTATTAATTAAAGTTAATTTTTTTTAATCACTGATTTCTAGTCTACTATGAGCAATGTGTAAACCCAAATTTTCAAAGTAATCATCCCTCCATCAAACCAACTGCATTTTTTCCATTATACTATTTTGGTCTTTTCACTCTCAATTGACTTAATTTTGATATTTAATTTGTTAATTTGGTCAAATTGATAATATTGTTAGTAAATTTGACGAGAAATAATCATTGAATGAGTTAAGGTTTGTAAGAGGAGCTAATTTAAGCCCACTAAATTATTTAGGCCCAATAGCCCAAGATTAGTGGGCCCGAATTTATCGCAAGTCCAAGTTAAGGTTAACTCACAGAGTTTAGTAAATTTATAATTTTATTTTAAAAATATCACATATGCCACTTATATACATATTTTTCATAAAAAAATATTAATAATTATAATCAATTGAATAAAATTGAAACAAAATTATAAATTTAAGGTCAATCAAATCAATTAAAATTATGAAGACTAAAATAACACAAATACCAAACTATAAGAATTACCAACGCAAATTACCCTTGAAAAATTAAGGCTCTGTTTGGTTATGTTTGCCAAACACATTTTCACCAACTTTCATGAGTGTGGTATTTGTTTTGAGCTTTCAAATTATAATTTCACACCCACTTTTAAAAATTCCTTTCCAAGCAGAAAATTTTAGCTAACCTGGACGTCTGGCTAGTTGATCAGAACAGTGTTCTTTTTTTTTACACATGTTATTTTTATATTGTAAATAAAAAATATTTTCAATTTTTTTTTTAATTTTTATATGAGCTTTGAATAGAATTTAAGGTTGTGTATTTGGTTATGAGTTGTAAGTTTTTAAATCAAATAACTTTTCTAATTTTAAAAATTCAGAACTCCCACCAAAACTCAATTCAAAAATCTTTTCAAAACTCATAACCAATCAAATTTTTCACACTCAAATCATAATTTCAAAACTCACAAATTCAAAATACATCTCTATTCCTAAATCATATTTAGAAAACTCTACCAAACGCTACCTAAATTGGACGTCATACTCATGAATGGGAGCAGCTTACCTTTAGTCCTTAATTGGATTGGATGGAGCTGTTCGGCCTGGTGGGGCCATCACGGGTCCCATCACAGGTCCCGTTTTGATAATCTAAATCGTATAATGTGTAGAACTCGTCGAATACTATATGTCTGTAAAAAATCACGTTGATCGGACATCGATAGTTATGTAATCAAATTAGTTTTGTATAAAAAAAAATGAATGGTAAACAAATGAATGGTTGATAAAAAACTGATAAGATGAGATAGCTATTGATATCTAATCAACATAAGTTTTTATATACATATAATAATCGACGAATTTTACACATTGAATAATTTAAATTATTAAAATAAGATCCATAATAAATTGTCAACAACTAAATAATACCGTTTAATCTGATTAAAGATAGGAGGTAAGCTACCCCCTCATGAATTTCCATAACAAGTGTAAATGTCTATATGTAATTACGTACAACATCGTTTGCCCTTCCACGTGCCACAATCACCTAGCATGGTATAAGCATGAAAAATTATAAATTCACGGATCGCCTTTTGATGAAAAGTAATTAACTAGTTTTCCGGTTACGCATTCACAATGTATCACTAACTTTTACAAAATGTACCAGTAATAACTTTTTTTCAGATAGTTAATTTTTACAAAATGCATGAGAAAGATCATTTCCAACGGTGAATCAGATTGATCATTAAATTTAAATTTGATGAAAAAGAATCACTTTTACGGGCTTAAGACGAATTTTTTAAATTGAGCCCTTCATATATCATTATCTAAAAAAAAAAAAAAAAATTGTTTAGATAAAAGGACAAAAATTTATTTCTATTGCATTACAATTTAACAAAATTTGGATAACAAATATATATATAATAGTTGAATTTCAATTAGTTGAATCGAATTTTTATTTTTTAGCTTACTAATACTATAAGAACTAAAATTAATTGGGGGTAAGGATGCGAATTTTTTACACAACTCAAGCAATATATAAAATTAGCAAGTTAAGGTTGATTATTTTTCAACATGAGTCCAAGTATGGCACGACTCAATAATATGAATTATTAGTTATATATTTTAATGTTCACTAAGGGAAGCCATGATAATTTTTTAATCTTTTATTTAACTCCATCCAACTGAATAAAAAAAAGTATGTAAAATAATAATTAAGGCTAATATCTTTTTTTCATTTAAGATTTTTTTTTTTGGTTACCTATTTTAAAGTTAATCTAGTAAAAAAATATAGTAATAAGGTACAATTTTTAATTAGAAAAATGTAATTGAATTAAAATCAAACATTCTATGAATAATTTCATTTAGTAGAAATAAATTTTTATAAAATTCAACTTATGGAAAAAATTTTAATCTCTCCATACACTTGCTAAGTTATTTTTTTGGTTACCTATTTTAAAGTTAATCTAGTAAAAAAATATAGTAATAAGGTACAATTTTTAATTAGAAAAATGTAATTGAATTAAAATCAAACATTCTATGAATAATTTCATTTAGTAGAAATAAATTTTTATAAAATTCAATTTATGGGAAAAATTTTAATCTCTCCATACACTTGCTAAGTTAATTTTAACTAAAAGTGAAAGTTTTCACATTAAATATCAATCAGACACAAATCAAAATAACATCATACGATAACATGATAATAAATGAATTGCGTTAGTATTGAAGTAATTATGAAATAACACAATATGATACACTCCCTTAATTGGGGGCCCTAAATTTTGTTCAAAATTGGGGGCCCGAGGCGACCGCCTTAGTCGCCTCACCCCAGGGCCGGCCCTGTACGGGACAACCGGTCGGACACTGGTCGTCCGTTGCATATAAAAAATGCAAAGCTGTTGTGTAGTGCTTTAATAGTTGGTTGGCCTGTGAACTGCTTCACAATTAGGCTGTTTTTGTGGCACTAACAATAAATTCAAGATTGATATAGATTTAAATTTCTATTAAAATGCAACATGGAAACGTTGCATGGTATATAGATTTAAATTTGTATCAAATATAGCCATTCTACACCTGCAACTCCAACAAGTTGCCATTGGTGTTATAGAGTATTTGGCAAACTTACTGTTGCTGTGATCTATAAAATATTCTAATCTTTTAACTTCACTATATCATTAGAATTTTTATTTTCTTTGTGAGTTTCAATTTGACAATATCATTACAATTTTTGTTTTTTTTGTGAGTTTTAGTTTGACAATGTCATTACAATTTCTATTTTCTTTATGAGCTTCAGTGTATATTATCTGCTTTTCAACTTCGGTGTATATTATCTGTTTCTTTGATAATTCTTTTGTAATTTAATATATGTGGATATATATAAGAACACAACATCAGTAAATTATGAATTGGATAGTCAGCACACAACATTTATGAATTGTCAAATTTATGGATTGGATTATCAGAACATAACTTGTCAAGTACTTGGATAATCAACTTGGCAAAATTATGAAGAGCACTAACAACAAACAAACACTAACATCCTTCCTTGCATAATGACCTCTCATTTCAAAAAAATAACCAAAAGTACTTGTTTGCGTCCACATGGTAAATTTAGTTTTCACCGTGAAAATGCCACATATGTTTTATTAAACCATTGCGGAGGACATGATATCCATTTTTATCTCTAATACCTAAACGACGAGAGAGAAATGATTAGAAGTCATTGTTAGTACTACAAGAAAATTCTGCCAGCGAGTTGGTTGATGAAGTATCATAATTGAAATCAAGATGCTCATCTCTCTCATCTTCAACAATTATATTATGTAATATAATGCAACTCTTCATTATGTTCCCAAGCATTTTCGAATCCCAAAAACATACGGCACCACCTATAATTGCAAATCAAGATTGGAGCACTTCGAATGCTCGCTCTATATCCTTCTTTGTTGACTCTTGCATCATTGCAAAATGTTGCTTCTTTGCTCCTTGGGAAGAAGAGATTGTTTGGACTAATATTGCCCATTGAGGGTATATACCATCAGCAAAGTAATAACCTATATTATGAATGTGTCCATTAATAGTGTAATGGACAGGGGAAGCTTTACCTTGGGCAAGATCAGAAAAACAAGGGCGATTGATCCAACACATTTAAGTCATTGTGTGACCTAGGCATTCCAAAAAATGCATGCCAAATCCACAAGTCATAAGAAGCTACTGCTTCAAGAATGATGGTTGGTTTTTTCTGATAGCCTACATATTGACCTTACCATGCCTTTGGACAATTTTTTCACTCCCAATGCATGTAATCTAAACTTCCCAACATATCTAGAAACCCACGAACCTCCCCAATAGCAAGTAATCAAGCAATATCAATTGATGTTGGAGATCTCAGGTATTCTGGTCCAAAGATTTCAATCATTGAATTACAAAAGTGTTGCAAACTTTGAATTGCAATGCTTTCCCCAATACGTATATAATCATCAATTGCATCTGCTACCACTTTATATGACAATATTCTCATTGCTGAAGTCATCTTTTGTAAGGGAGACAATCCAAGAATATGAGCTACATTTTGTTTTTGAACAAAATATGGATCGTGTGCTTCAATAGCATTCAAAATTCGCAGATACAAAGGACGACGCATACGAAAACGTCTCCAAAATGTTACAAGTGAATAAACTGGATTTGCCGCAAAATAATCAGCGAACAATCGTTCATGACCCTTCCATCTATCACGACGTATGTACTTATGTCCTACAACAGAACCACCTCTTTTCTTTGATCGATCAGTTGATTGCAGAATTTGAATCATACTAGCATTATTTATCTCATAAACCCCCAAAAGTGTGACCATTTTTTCATCATCAAACTCATTATCAAAGGATGAGGAAGAAGAAGATGAAGAAAATGAAGTGAACAGGTAAGAATTTGAGATACTTATTATGCTCTGCTTTCAGTTATGGTGCCTTCCAGATATAACGTACCTCTTGTATGGTATATGATAGATGGATTAATGTGTTTATATCAGTTCTTGGAAGAAAATCATTATTGGAGACAACTAAAAATAAAAAATATTTAATGGAGGAAAAAAGAAATGGAAAACAAATTGGGAAATAAAAATAGAAGGGGAAAAAAAATTTCAATGCCTTGACCGGTCAACCAGCCGGTCGTCCCACCGGACGTCCCCAATCTTTTGATGCAAGCTGCAGTGCAACCGTTGGAGCGGCTCAATCAAATTGAGAAACTTACCTATTTTTTTTTTAACTCATATTTAGTGAATCATTGGAGATGCACACACGCGTGTGTGGGAAAATTTCTTGTCCTAATAGAAAGTAAGATGACGCCACGCGAAGCTGTTTCCCTCATAAAAAGCACATCTTGTTAGAGCTTTTTGATTGGTGCTTATCGGTTTGAGGTTATTTTGACGATCAAGTTGATATTTTTATTATTTTATATTTTTTGAGATGAGGAACAAGATTGATAGAAAATAATAATTTTTAAATTTGGTTTTGCATACCTTTCTTCGTTTATCTTACTACAACATTTTCTTAGTTTAGTGACATTTGAAAGTGCCACAAAATTATTCTTCTAATGACATTTTTTGGTCTTGTGACATTTTGAACAAGTGTCACTTCTATTGGTGTCACGGTAGATACGAGTGCCACGGTAGATACTTGCAAGTGCCACTGCACCATCATGGCTGAAAACTTTCAATGACATTTTAATGTCATGGTAGATATTATTTGTGGCACTATCAAGCGCCATTAAAAAAAGAGTTAGTGACACTTGTAAGTGTCATTACACCATCAAGGCTAAAACTTTTCAGTGACACTTTAATGTCATGGTAGGCACTATTCGTGACGCTATCAAGTGCCATTCATGACGATAATTCGTTGTAGAACAATTTGATCCGCTTTTGCAGAGACTCGAACTGCCAACCTTCTGCACCATAAACCTTATACACCACACTCTTCCCACTACACCTCTATACCACCACATGATTATATATGCAACATATATTATTTGTATAGTACATACATTCATATTAATATAAAAGTATATGTATAAATATAATTATTTTATTAAACATAATTTATGTAAAATAAACTATTTACTACCAAAATAAAAAAAGACCACTTTTGGCGACTAAAAATATTTTTTAGTCGCCAATTCTATACTTTTGGCTACTAATTATTTTTTAGTTGCTAAAAAACTTAACTTTTGTCAACCAAAATCGGATTTGGTCGTCAAAGATGCACTTTCAGCTACCAAAATTTTGGTCACCAAAAAATTTTATTCCCGCCTTAGGATTTTAGTTCTCCTGCGCTAAAAATGGCCACTTTTGGTGACTAAACTTATTTTTTAGTCATCAATTGTAGACTTTTGGCTACTAAAATTTTTTTTGGCACCAAAAAGCTTTACTTTTGGCTACTAAAATTTTTTTAGTCGGTAAAACCCCTATAATCAGCGACCAAACTTATTTTTAGTCGCCAATTGTAGACTTTTGGCTACTAAATTTTTTTAGTTGCCAAAAAAATTTACTTTGGGCTACTAAAAATTTTTTAGTCACTAAAACCCATATAATCAGCGACCAAACTTAGTTTTAGTCGCCAATTGTAGACTTTTGGGTACTAAAATTGTTTAGTCGCCAAAAAGCTTTACTTTTGGCAACTAATGTTGTTTTTGTCGCTGAAAGCTATATTTTCAGCAATCAAATTTTTTTAGTCAGGAAATTTAGTCGCCGAATATGTTTTTTCCTGTAGCGTATATTGAGTTTAATTCATTTATTTTTAATCATTTACTGCATTTTAAAAATTTAGAAAATATATTGGCATTTTTTGTTTTTTCAAAAATGTCATTATAAGCTTGGAAAGTTTTTGGTTTAGTGACATTTCTCAAAATGCTATAAAATATTTGTTTATGACACTTTTTACCTAAGTGCCATAAAAAGTAATTTGCACCTACCTAGTGTCCTGACATTTTTTAAAAAATGCCATTGCAACTAAAGTTTAGTGGCATATGTTGGTAAATGTCACGAACATAATTTTTTGTGTCATTATTTTATAAAATGTCATAAAATGGACGTGACATTTCTTTATTAAAATGTCACTAGAGCCTTATATGTTTTATGGTTCTATGGCATTTTTCTAAAACATTTAATGCCAATTTTTATTTTTGTGGCATTTTCTAAAAACATGCTACTAGTGTAGTGTCACTAAAGTGTAAATTTGTTGTAGTGACATTTTTGTTGTAGTGAAGTGACACTTTTTTAATTGAAATGCCACTAGAGCCTTGTATGTTTGTGACTCTATGACATTTTTCTAAAAAATGCCACCAAATATTCTTTTTGTGACATTTTTTAAGAATATGCCACTAGTATGGTGTCACTAAAATATGTTTTTGGTGTAGTGTTGTGACACTTGTTCATTGAAATGTCACTAGAACCTTTTATGTTTGTCGTTTTGCGGCATTTTTCAAAAACGTGCCACTAAATATCATTTTTGTGGCATTTTCTAAAAATATGCCACTAGTGTAGTGCCACTAAAGTATGTTTTTGTTGTAGTTTTGTGACACTTGTTCATTGAAATGTTACTAGAGCTTTTTATGTTTGTCGTTTTGTAGCATTTTTCAAAAACGCGCCACTAAATATCATTTTTTGTGGCATTTTCTAAAAATATGCCACTAGTGTAGTGCCACTAAAGTATGTTTTTGTTGTAGTGTCTTCCTTTTTTACATATATTTTTGTGTCATCATTAAGATCTTGTTTGGAAAGTTAGTTATTTTAGTAGGTATTAGTAAAAATTCAGTTTAGAACCAATTGATAGTGATTGATTGATAGGCTTAAACAAATTTTAATAAACACAAAAAGATCAGATTTTGTGATTGAGTTCTATATCTTAAACAAATTAAGGACTTTCCTGAAAGTAATTAAGTAAAAAAGAATTTGAATAGAAAAGAATATGCATTTATTCAATTAAATTGTCACTTACTGTCAGTTACAAGAACTCAAACAATAACAAAGAAATGAAAAAATACAACAATAGACATAAAGAAGAAAAGTAGGGATTGAAAAAAATTATTAGTTTAATCTACTCCTAAAATGACTAACTTAACACTTTACGTGTAATTGGTGGTTGTTGATTATTTTTTGATCTTTATATCTCTCTTGGCTTATTTATAGGGTCAGCCACATGAGAGAAAAAGATAACATAAGCCCACGATTTCCTCAACAAGCTCGTAATTTTCTCAACATTATCTATATCCTATGTTTGATAGGAACTATTTTACAGATTTGGTGCTTGATTTGATCTTGGTTCCTTAATCTCAGCAACTAATTTTCAAATTGCTACAATTGATAACTTTCTGGCCCTTCATTTAACATGCCATCGTGCCACGTCCCTAACACATATGTTATGCCACGTTAGTATGCCTGTCGACAGAAATGATAATAATAAAAATAAATGTGGTCAAGGTTATTCTTTGAAAATAGTTTATGATTTCAATCGATAGACTATAATCGAAATTGACCATAATTAATAGGCCACAATTGACAGAAAAATAAAATGTGATGCAAACAGTAGGCTATTTTAGTAAGTTAAAACTTTTGTGTTGAGAAAGATGATTAGATTTTTTGTAGTTGAATGTGATATTTATAAATTTTTTTTAATAATTATGAATTTAATGTAATATTTTATTTTATTAACTATTTTAATTTATTTTATCTTTTTATAATTTTTAGCCAAAAAAATCCTTCAAACCTAACTTGCCAAACACTGCCTAAATGTCAATTCAGGTGGAATACCTTTTTAGCACCAAGGATCCTCTAGAGTGAAATTTCCTTAAAGTTTCCTAGAGTGCTACATTGTGTGGTTGAGATTTACTGGCAAGTCACATCAGAAAAATTGATGTGACTTGCCAGTAAATTTTAACTACACAATGTAGCACTTTAGGAAACTTTAGGAAAAAATCACTCTAGAGAATCCTTGCTCACCTTTTAGGGCACATGCGAATCACTATTTTTGCATTTAATGGTGAGACAAAAACGTATTTAGAGGAAGAAGATGAACGGTGAACGAAGATAGATCACGGTCATATCTGTTACCTGTTTCATAGAAAAGTTGTGACTCTTCCATTCGAATGGTTAGAATGGCTATTCAAAAAGTCATTTATTTACTTATATAAACAATCCATGTGTTGTATTCATTAGTAGCAAATTTATCTTGTATTATCTCTTTTTTAGGCATTATGTTTTTCTTTTATTAAAAAGAACAATCCCGATTTATAGCTCGAGACTTGTGGGGCTCGAATGGCCCGAGTCGAAAAACGAAGACGTTTTGAAATTTTATTTTATTTTATTTTTTCTTTTCTTTCTTTTTCTCGGTTTTTTCTGTAGATGCAGAAGATGAAAGTGAAAAAGAAGAAGAGGAAGAGAAGAGAAAGAGAAGAGGAAGCTGGAGCTGGAGCTGGACAGTTTCATCAACATCAACACATCATCATTATCAACAATTTTTATTCTTTTTCTAATCCTGATCTACCTAGGAAAAAAAAAAGAAGAAGAAAAAGAGAAAACAGAGTCTCAGAGCATCTTCATCTTCATCAACATCAACAATTTTATTTTATTTTATTTTTATTGTTTTTATTTTTTTTCAAATCCAGATCTACTTAGAAAAAAAAAGAAGAAGAGAAAACAGAGAGATCGGAACAAAGTTTCAGAGCATCTTCATCTTCATCAACATCAACAACATCTTCATCAACATCAATAATTTTTTTTTTTTTTTTTTTCATTCAGATCCAGATCTACTCAGAAAAAAAAAGAGAGATCGGTGATACACATAGAGATCGGTGATACCCACC